AGAGGTGGGGAGAGGTGGGGGGGAGGTGGGGATAGGTGGGGAGAGGGGGAGAGGTGGGCGGAGAGGTGCCTTGAGCTCGCGGACCAGCTGGATGTTGCGCTCGATGGGCTTGACGGTTGAGAAGTCTCCAGGCACCTGCACGGCGAGCTTGCGAGCTTTGCCAGCTGCGACAACATCCGCTACACAGCTACTGCTACGTCGCGTCGCAGCCTTGCGGCTGCATCACGGAGGCTGCGCGCCGCAGCAGCCGGCCACTGGGCTCGCACAGCTCGTGTCGCACCACCAAGCGGGCGGGCAAGGGGCGGCTCTCGCAAGTGTCACACGGAAGTGTCTCGGAGGTGTCTCTCGCAAGTCTCGCAAGTGTCTCTCGCAAGTCTCGCAAGTGTCTCTCGCAAGTCTCGCAAGTGTCGCAAGTGGAGTTGGAAGAGAGAGCGGGGGGGAGGCAACGTTGCGCGGCCTGCGGATGCTTGACCAGCACGTCGTCGAGATAGGGGGAGATATGGGGAGATGTGGGGAGATATGGCCTGCGGATGCTTGACCAGCACGTCGTCGAGATAGGGGGAGATATGGGGAGATGTGGGGAGATATGGCCTGCGGGTGCGTGACCAGCACGTCGTCGAGATAGGGGGAGATATGGGGAGATGTGGGGAGATATGGCCTGCGGGTGCGTGACCAACACGTCGTCGAGCGCGAAGCAGAAGCGCCGCTTGATCGAGCCGAGCGCGCGCCCCGCGGCGACCGTGTCGATGAACGCCTCGAGCCTCGTGGGCGTGCCTGCGGGAGATGTGGGGAGATATGGGGAGATATGGGGAGATATGGCAGGTGAGGGGCACTGTGCTGGCACTGTGCGCTGGCACTGGGCTGGCATTGCGCTGGCACTGTGCTGGCACTGTGCTGGCACTGGGCTGGCACTGGGCTGGCACTGGGCTGGCACTGTGCTGGCACTGTGCTGGCACTGTGCTGGCACTGGGCTGGCACTGGGCTGGCACTGTGCTGGCACTGGGCTGGCACTGGGCTGGCACTGTGCTGGCACTGTGCTGGCACTGTGCTGGCACTGGGCTGGCACTGGGCTGGCACTGTGCTGGCATTGGCCCCACGGCTAGAGTCGCGCGCCACACTGCGACGTCTGCTCGGCGGGCAAGCCTACGGGACGGGTCGTGGACATGTCCGGGGACGGCGCCTGGCGGCGCGGCGCGTGTCGCCGCCTCGGATGGCACCGACGAAAGGGCGTCCCTGGTCGAGCATGCGCGAGATGAGGTTGGAGACGTAGTAATGCATCGCCTGGAGGGAGATGTGGGGAGATGTGGGGAGATATGGGGAGATATGCGCGAGATGAGGTTGGAGACGTAGTAATGCATCGCCTGGAGGGAGATGTGGGGAGATATGGGGAGATATGCGCGAGATGAGGTTGGAGACATAGTAATGCATCGCGAGGAGGGGCGGGGGCGGAGGTAGGGTCGGGCCGAGGAGGGGAGGGGGAGGGAGGGGAGGGGAGCGAGGCGGGAGGGGAGCGAGGCGGGAGAGGGATGGGGAGAGGTGTTGGAGAGGGGGCGGGAGGCGAGGGAGGCGAGGGGGGGCGAGGGTTAGGGGAGCCCTCTCGGCGGGTCGTCGAGATATGGGGAGATATGGGGAGACAGCGTGAGATCTGGTGAGACAGACGGAGAGATGGGGAGAGACGACCTCTCTCCGAGGGTCGTCGAGCACCTCGCGCGCGAAGCGGTGCAGGAGCGATCCGGAAGCAAAGCCTACGTGTTGGATACGCCAGCCTCGGGGCAGGAAGACGGTATTGTGCAGCGTCTTCAGAGCACCGCGTGAATACAACGGAGAAGAATACAGGGACCGCAGCGGAAGACGGTCGAAGACAGCGGAGTGCGTGTCCTCTCGAGTGCTGGTTGGGAGGCATGAATACGTACTCCGCTTCTAGGGTGCAAAGCCGTAGGCGCCGACGTTGGCGTGGTCCGAGATGGCGACCTTCTCTGCCACCTCAAGCACCGCGCCGCTCCCCTCCTCGAGCCGCAGGTACGAGTAGATCGCCGCCGTCCCCCGGTCGGTGAAGTAGAAGCAGGCGGACGTGTCGCGCGGGAGCGTGCGGAAGGCGCCGAGCACGTCGGAGAAGTAGAGGTTGTCGCAGTCGAGGCAGAGGGTCTTGCGCGACAGCTCGGCCGGCGACATGTGCTGCAGCCCGATGAAGAGCGTCTCGACCGCCCCGCGCGTCACCATCTTGAAGGTGACGACGCGGATGTCGGCAGCAGGATACTGCCGCTGCAGCAGCGCAAACTCGGCCTCGTACTGGCCGTGCATCGAGTGCGGCACGACGAGCCAGATCACATCGCCCAGCCGCAGCTGCAGGTTGTCGAGCATGTGGAAGAGCATCGGCCGGCCTGCAATCTTGATGAGCGGCTTTGGAAAGACGTAGCCGGCCTCGCGGAAGACTTCGCCGCGGCCGCCCATCGGAATGAGCACGTTGAGAGACGCCTCGTCACGGATTGCAAAGGATGCGTGCGCCATGGATGAGTGGGCGCGGAGCGACCGTCACGGATTGCAAGGCCCGCGCCGCCACAATTCGGCAAGCAAACAACGCAACTCACTCTCACAGCACACAGGCTCGACACAGGGAATATTTATTCTAGTCGTGTCCGCTCCGAACGTGTGTATGCACAACAGTCATGGCGCTGTCCTCTCAGGAGACGCCATGAGTGGGTAGAGAGGAGCAACCGCACGTGAGTGCCCTGTTCGAGTGCGCGAGATCTCCTGAGATCTCCCAAAGATTTCCGCTTCGGAATTCTTTCTCGAACAGCCACCCCCGCACGGTGGTGCTCCCCTGGCCAGGTTCCGTGATGGTCCCTGGCTGTGACGAGGAAGGGGCAGGAACCCTCCCGACGCGACTCAAGGATCCGACCAAGCTGAGACCGCGAGGACGGCGTGTACATCCGTCACTACAATGGTCTCGCAAGGAAGTTCACATGAGATTTTCCCCTGCCTGCGCAATCATTGCTGCCCCACCTCACCACGTCATCCCATGCTTCCAACGCGAGCAGTGGCGGGCGGGCGGGCGCGAGCGGTGCCATGATACACGCGCGCACCATCGCGGTGCGCGCGATTCTGGAGAGTGAAACGTCTAACTTGCTGACGTCCTTCACAGTCCGTCTCCCAATTTATGCGGCCCAGCTCCGGCCGAATAAATATTCCGTCCTTTGTTCGCGTGCGCTCACGCGGTGGAGAATATTTATTCTAGTCGTGTCCGCTCCGAACGTGTGTATGCACAACAGTCATGGCGCTGTCCTCTCAGGAGACGCCATGAGTGGGTAGAGAGGAGCAACCGCACGTGAGTGCCCTGTTCGAGTGCGCGAGATCTCCTGAGATCTCCCAAAGATTTCCGCTTCGGAATTCTTTCTCGAACAGCCACCCACACCCTAAACGCGTGTTACCGAAGTGGCTCCCCCACCCCAAAACGAGGGTCTGGGCGCGGCGCCCACGACCCTCCCAAGACGCTGGCAGCATGCCTCCAACCCGAGCGCCACACTGGCGCTCCGCCACAAGGTCACACGCCCTCACGTCCCGGCCTAGACCTCTTCCTCTAGGTCTATGTCGGCGACATCCCCCTCCCCTCCCTCTTCCCGCCCGAAGAGGAAGGCGAACCTGTGGAGGCATGAAACCCCTCCAGTCCCGCTCTCCTAGGAAGTCGCACGACCCCGCAGTCCGTCCGACCAGCCTCGTTGCTGCGCTCGCACGCAACGCCTCCGCGCCTCGCTAGGGCTCACCGTGCCGCTCTAGCGCGCCCCTCAGCCGCGCAGGCACCCTCTCGAGTGCCCTCTGCTCGAGTGCCCTCGGGGCGCTGCATCGCCCGCGACATGCCTCCTCGTGGCGCGCGACACAAACCAGAGACAGCTGCTCCAGCCGATCGAGCGCAACGCTCTACTCCGCCGCGCTGAGCGACCACTCAGCGCCCCACACATTAACTGGCCGACTTTGCGAGGCGCCCTGCGCCTCCTCTACACACCCCTCACGCCTTCGCGTGGCGTGCCTTTGGCGAGAAGGCCGCCCCCCGCAGCCGCCGGCTCCGCCGCCTCGCCGCCTCTTACACGAGCATGCCTCTTCTTGGCATACTCGGAGGTTCATGGTGACCGCCCGCGCGAGCGCGCCCCACGCCCGGCTAGGGCTCGCCGTGCCGCTCTAGCGCGCCCCTCGGCCGCGCAGACACCCTCTCAAGTGCCCTCGGGGCGCTTCGTTGCTCGCGACCTGCCGCCGTGTGGCGCGCGACGCAAACCAGAGGCAGCTGCTCGAGCCGCTCTAGCACGACACTCTACTTCGCTGTGTCGAGCGACCTCTCGAGGCGCTCTGCATGCGCTCGCCGCCTTCGCGAGGCGTCCTGCGCCTCCCCCAGGCGCACCGCACGCCCCCGCGTGGCGTGCCATTGGCGAGACGGCCGCCTGCAGCCGCAGCCCCCTCGCCGCCTCTTACACGAGCATGCCTCGTCTCGGCATGCTCAGAGTTCGTAGCGGCCGCCCGCTCGAGCGCGCCCCGCGCCTTGCTAGGGCTCACCGTGCCGCGCTAGCGTGCCCCTCGGCCGCGCAGACACCCTCTCCAGTGCCCTCGGGGCGCTTAATTGCTCGCGACTTGCCGCCGTGTGGCACGCGACGCAAACCAGAGGCAGCTGCTCGAGTCTATCGAGCGCAACGCTCTACTCCGCCGCGCTGAGCGGCCCCTCGGCGCGCCACACATGCGCTCGCCGCCTTTGCGAGGCGCCCTGCGCCTCCTCCATACGCACCGCACGCCCCCGCGTGGCGTGCCATTGGCGAGACGGCCGCCTGCAGCCGCAGCCGCCTCGCCGCCTCTTACACGAGCATGCCTCTTCTTGGCATACTCGGACATTCATGGTGACCGCCCGCTCGAGCGCGCCCCACGCCTTGCTAGGGCTCACCGTGCCGCTCTAGCGCGCCCCTCGGCCGCGCAGACACCCTCTCAAGTGCCCTCGGGGCGCTTCGTTGCTCGCGACCTGCCGCCGTGTGGCGCGCGACGCAAACCAGAGGCAGCTGCTCGAGTCGCTCTAGCACGACACTCTACTTTCGCTGTGTCGAGCTGCCTCTCGAGGCGCCACACATGCGCTCGCCGCCTTCGCGAGGCGCCCTGCGCCTCCTCCATACGCACCGCACGCCCCGGCGTGGCGTGCCTTTGGCGAGACGGCCGCCCGCAGCCGCAGCCGCCACGCCGCCTCCTATACACGGGCACGCCTCTGTCTTCTTGGCATACCGATTCATAGCGGCCGCCCGCTCGAGCGCGCCCCAGTCTCGCTAGGGCTCATTGCTAGCGCCGGCTGACGTTGCGAGGCGCCTTGCGCCTCCTCCAGACGCACCGCACGCCCCCGCGTGGCGTGCCTTTGGCGAGACGGCCGCCTGCAGCCGCAGCCCCCTCGCCGCCTCTCACACTCGCATGCCTCGTCTCGGCATGCTCAGAGTTCGTAGCGGCCGCCCGCTCGAGCGCGCCCCGCGCCTTGCTAGGGCTCACCGTGCCGCTCTAGCGCGCCCCTCAGCCACGCACACACCCTCTCAAGCGCCCTCGGGGCGCTTAATTGCTCGCGACTTGCCGCCGTGTGGCGCGCGACGCAAACCAGAGGCAGCTGGCTGCTCGAGGCGATCGAGCACGACGCTCCACCTAAGCGAGCTCTCCCGCACGCCATACATGCGCTCGCCGCCTTTGCGAGGCACCCTGCGCCTCTTCTAGACGCCCCGCACGCCTCCGCGTGGCGTGTCTTTGGCGAGAAGGCCGCCCGCAGCCGCAGCCGCCTCGCCGCCTCTTACACGAGCATGTCTCTTCTTGGCATACTCAAGCGGCGGGGGAGGTGGGGGAGACGGCGGCAGCCGAGGAGCGCCTGTGTGACCTCTGCTGGGACGCGCCTCGGTCGGTCCGCTTCGCGTGCGGCCACGCGCTGTACTGCGAGACGTGTGCGCCGCGCGTGCTGGAGCGCGACAGCAACTGCCCGGCCTGCCGCCAGCCGGCGCTGCCCATCGTCGCAACTGGGCGGCTGGTGGCGGCGCAGGCGACGTTTGTCCACCAGCCGCCCTCGCGCACTGCGCCCCATGCACAGCCCGCGGGCGCCACGGCGGCGGTCGGTGGGCGACAGCGAGGGGGGCGCAGTGGGCGCGGTGGGCGCGGTGGGCGCGGTGGGCGGGGTGGGCGGGGTGGGCGCGGGAGGCCACGGGACGAGGGGCGTGGCGCTGGTGGCTCGTAGAGGTCGTAGCTGGTTACGGCTTTTACCGTCACCGGCCCTTGCAGAGAGTAGTGTACGTCACGTCAGACCGGCCGGGACAGCACCTGCTAGTGCTACGACGATGCGCTTCTGGATTGAACGCGAGGGCGAGCACCGCCGTGCACGAACGACGGGACGGTCTCCTCAATAACAAAATTCGATCGCGTAAACAACGATCTAGCTAGGAGCGCTCTAGCACAGAAGCACCGACTCAGGCCGGCTTCAGGCCGCCGGCGCACCCCAGCGCGTACTTCTGGAACCGCCTCAGCTGCCTCTCCGAGAGCCCTTCGTGGCCGATGGCTCTCGGCGGCCGCGTACAGCCACGGAGCACCAGGTTCATCGCCTCCCCGAGCGCGAGCCCCCGGCTCAGCCTCGACTGGGACAGCACCGATGGATGCCACTCGATGTGCAGGTAGTCGACGAGGCAGAGCGCGCCGCTCACGAGGAGGTGCGGCAGCAGCTCAAATTCGTAGCCCTCGACGTCGAGCTTGATCAACACGATCTCGTCCGGTCGCAGCCGCAGCATGGGCACCGCAAGGTCAAACGCCGGCACCGAGATCTGCTCCTTCGCGACGGACGGGCGGTTCGAGTCCAGCAGCGACGCAACGACGGTGTCCGCTTTGCTCGCGTTGCGCGGCGGCGCGAAGAAATTCAGGCTGCCGTCGGCCGTGGCCGCGGCCACCGCGTGGAAGGTGCCGCTCCACCGCGCGGCGAGGCTCGTCAGCTCGTCCGCGAAGCGCGGCTGCGGCTCGAAGACGCTCAGCCGTGTGGCGTTTCGGTGGCGCTCCGGCAGCAGCTGCATGAGACGATTCGACCATCCGCCGTCGTTCGCGCCGACGTCCCAGACGACGATGTCGCTCGGAGCGGCCGCGTGGTTCAGGTCGCTCAGGAACGCCTTCACGACGTGGTTGGAAGGCATCGCGCGCCGCCTCTTGCTCCTTTATTTATTCGTTTGCGAAGCCGGCAGAACAAGATCTGTGTAGACGCCGTCGCGACTAGGGCTGGGTCGAGGACAAGACAGTCCCGACCTTTGCAGGATATTGCAAAAGCGAGGGGGAGGGGGCGGCGGGCGCATCGCGGCACGGAGGCTGGGATATCTCTCGCATTGTCACATCTACACTATTTTAGGATTCGCAGTTTCGTTTCGCACTCGGCGGTCGTGCGTGCTAGAGCGAGCGGCACGACGCGCCCTATCAGGATTTGAAGTCTTCTAAGTAGGTAGGTGGTTGGGTGTGTCGTCTGTGTCGACCGGCTGTGCGGAAGAGAGCTTTTCACGGCCCGAGAGGGGTGCAGACGGATACGAGAGGTCACCGGACGAGGGCGGCACACAGCTTGTCAGAGCTGGCTATTGTTACGTGGACCCGTCAACAAATGCCGTTGCCACTCATCACCGCAATCGCCCTCACCGCGTCCGGCGAAGCAGCCGTCCCCGAGGATGAGTACGCGGCGCTGCCCGAGTGGACCGCGAAGCTCTCGCCCTTTGCAAGCCGCTTTGCAGGCAAGAAGGTGCTCGTCACCGGCGGCTCCAGTGGAATCGGCTTGGCGGCAGCGCTCGGCTTCCGCAACGAGTGTGCGGACGTCGTGATCGCCGGCTCGAGCTCCGCCAAAGCGCAGCGCACGGCGGATGCGCTGCGCTCGCAGACCCCTTCGGCCTGTCCGGGCGTGGCAGTGCACGCGGTCGCCGGCAATCTGGCCAACGAGACGCAGGCACTGGGCGTGGTGGCAGAGGTGTGTTCCACCACACAGCAGTGCAGACAACCTCAGTTACACCACACAGCAGTGCAGACAATCTCACGGCCCTCCATCCGGCGGGATCGGGGTGCTCACTGTGGCAACCTCTTTGCTCCTCCCAGGCGATCCGCTTGCTGGGCGGGCTCGACGTCGCTGTCAACGCCGCGGGCATGGCGGGAGTGCCCGGCGTCCAGGCAGGCGAGCCGCGGCTGCTCGAGCTTCTTGGCTCGCCTCTCGACCCGATGGGACTCAACATTTACGGGGCGCGCGCTGAGGACCCGCCGCCCTCCTCCCTCCACGCTCGCGCCGGCTCCCGCCACTCCCCGCCGCCGCTCTCCCGTCGCGGCCAGGCCGCTCCACTCCCCGCGCGTCACGAGCAGGCACACTCACCACCGCTCTCGCGCGCGCGTTCAGATGCTCTACTCGATGCACGCCGAGATCAAGCACTGGGTCGACACGGGCAAGCGCGGCTCGGTGGTCAACGTGGGCTCGCTGTGCGGCGAGCACGCGGGCGTATGCGGCACCATGTACACCGCCTCCAAGTTTGCGACGCAGGGCTTCTCCAAGCAGGCCGCGGTCAAGTATGCGCCGCGAGGCATCCGAGTCAACGTGCTCAACCCAGGAGCCGGCCGCGAGGCCGCGCCCGCCGCGCCCGCCGCTCACACGCCCGCCGTCGCGGACGCCGGCGCAGGCCTGATCCACACGCAGATGCTGAGGGACGACTACGGCGAGCGGCTCGGGCCCGACGACCCAAAGTGGACAGAGGGCCGCAAGGCGATCAGCCGCGCCACGCGGAGCCCGGAGGGCCGGGAGAGCTCGCGACGCCCGCCGCCCCTCGGCAGGCGGTAGACCGCGCCATCCCGCTCGGCTCCATCGCCGAGCCGTGGGAGATGGCGGGCCCGATCCTCTTCCTCAGCGACAACGGGCGTGCCTCCTACGTCACCGGCGCCACCCTCTCGGCCGACGGCGCCCTCACGCAGGCGCGCGCGCCCTCGCGGACGCGGGGCGTTGGGCGGGCGGCGGTCACTCATTAGCGCCACTCGCATCTCACGCCAGGTGGGTGCCTTCAACTCGGAGGTGGCGGCCATCGAGGGCGGCATCAAGGCGCCCCCGCCGACAACGAAGAGCGAGCTCTGAGGTGCGCAATCTCTTCGAGGTGCGCCTTGCCGGCCGACAGTTGCGCGCACCTTGGTGTGCACATCTTTTTTGCCCCGTGAGCTGTGAGGGCTACCCGCAAGATCTATGCACTCATGCCCGCGCATTTTGTTCCCGAGGCGCGGGCGGTGCGTGCCCCTATGTCATAATGTACCGGCGCTGCAAGCATGTACAGTTTCAAATTTGTTTCGGCTTTTTAGCAAATTTGGCCCAAACCCCCGTTTTTGCCCAAGGGGGGGGGGGGGGGGGCGTCCCTCGCAATTCCTGGCCGCAAAGTTAGAGGACAGGAGCCCCCCGGGGGGTGCGCCCGGCTTAAAAGTCCAAGGCCCCTTAAAGGACGGGCGTGGGTAAACGGTGTGTTTTTTTGCGCGCGCCCCCCCTGCGCGCGCAACCCGAGCCCCCCCCCCCCCCCCCCCCACTCCCGCCCCCTCCTAGATCCAGAAGTGGCTTCTGATTCCAAGCGACCGGAGGTGATGCATGAGCTTGATCGCCTCGTCAACAGCCGCGTGCGAGACTGCGTCTCCCCAGCCAAAATTATTCCCGTCGAATTGAAAGTGATATTCAAAGAAGAGCTCGTCCACAAGCTCGGCCAGCTCTGGGCGACTGGCGATGCCGTAGGCGATCTCCAGCTCAGGGCCTCCGTCGATGTCGAGCTTGACCGACACAAAATCTTCCTTGGTCGCTGCGTGCGGCAAGACCTTCAGGAAGCTAGTGTCCGGCGCTGCACTGGCCGGCCCAAACTGGCTCGTGTTCAAGTCGGCCTCTTCGATGTAGTGGTTATAGAATCGGATCCTGGGCACACGCGCAGGTGAGGATGTGGGGGTGTTGTGAAGTTTCGATTCGGAGGCAGGAAGTGTTGCCGGGAAGAGGGCAGCGAGGGCGCGCCTTGGCCGGAGGAACGGCGGGACGTGACGCCACCAAGCCGCCGGACGGTGATGAGCCCCCTCCCACGCGTATATGTCGTCGAACTCCACGCAGTTCTCGCGATACCAGGAGAAGAAGAGCGGGATGGACGGGCCGCTCCCCGATGCCTCCAGAGGTCGGCTCGGATCGCCGTCCCAGTCGCCGTATGTCGTGCACCCGAGATCGAAGAACTTGTTTCGGCCCCTCTTTGGCTTGTCGGCCTTGTCAGCCTTGTCGCACTGGTTCTCGAGCAGGATGTAGTCGATGTTGAACAATCCAGGCGGATGCACGAGCCCTCCACCCAACGACTGAAGCTCCGCCGTCTCGGCCCTTGAAAGTGGCAACGAGCTCTTGCACACACTTTCAAACGCAAGCGGGTGTCTGGCCATACCGGTCAACGGTTCGATTAGCCCGGAGCGTCGGCGGACCCTGAACCTGGAGAGGTGACGAGCGATGTTGGGCGGAGGTCGCAGCACGCTTTGTCCGCGTGGGTGTGTTGCGTTCGCGACCCACGCCGCCCACTCCGCTGCGTTAGCTCGCTGCGACCACGCCAGCTTGCACAGCCCAGGGCCGCCGGCCTAGTCGCAGTAAGCAAGCTTAAGTCCTAAGTCCAAGATCGGACCCCTATTGAAACTCTACGGCCGGCGACCTGTTTGGCGACCGCGCCGCCCGTCCACGCTCGCTCAAAGGCGCTCGACGTGTAAATCTCGCTGTCGGTCGGAGCAACTGGGAGCTGGCCCGGAATCCTTGACCAGGTTTGCTGCTCTCGGTCCTTGCCGCCGAAGAGCGCCGCAGCAGAGGTGAGCGTGACGAGCGACAGCATGCTTGGGCTGCGTGACGGCTGTAGCACCCCAAGCACCTTGCCCCGGGCCGTGTGCGCGCCGAGGTCAGACGCCGTGATGCGTATCGTTTTCTTCCAGGCGCCTCCGTTTCGAGTGTCCGAGCGCCTCTTTCACAATGCAGGCACCGATGCAGCGCCGACACCGCGAGTACTAGCTAAGATAGGCGCCACAAGCGTGGGCGCTCATCTCAAGATACGCAGCTACACGTGTAGGCGCGAGCCTTACTCAAGGCAAACAACAAACACAATGTGTTAGAGTTGTTTGGTATTGCTAAAAATCTCTCTCTCAAGGCGCCAGGCACGAAGACGCGTATCTGGGCTACCTGGACGCAGACGCGCATCCTCATGCGTGGGCGCTCATCTTAGTTAATACTCGCGTCCACACATGCAGGTGCGTATATGGGCTCGGTGCACATGAGCACTTACACGTCAGGCGCGAGCCTTAGCTAAATAAAATAAAATAAAATAAAACGGGCACGCCAAACGAGGGGTGGGAGAGGGACAGGGTCCCCACCTGCACGAGCAGGATCTTGGAAGGACGATCAGGGACACAGGGGAACGGGAGCGGGGAGCGCATCGCGACACGGAGGGGGGCTGGGCAGGGTTCACCCACACGACAGGGTCCCAGGGATTCCTCTCTCGTATAGGACAGGTTGCACCCGGCGGCACGGGGGCAGGCGCGGGCCTCCTACTGGTTGCGCTCTCCTAGTTCTCCTGCTCCTGACAAGGGACAGCGACAGGCTCGCAGCACGGTGGACTCCCTATTCCACTGGCGATCTCTCTCGACTAGCGACCTTCCTCCGGCTTCTCACCAGCAGTCTCTCACTACCACGGGCACACTGACAGAGGCGGCCAAAAGGCTCACGTGGGTGGCAGGGCGGTGATAGGAGTCTCCCACTCTGTGGGCTTCGCTAGAGGTGCGGCCCCTGCGCGTGTCCTCGCCCTTGCGTGTGTGTGTGTGTGTGTGTGTGTGTGTGTGTGTGTGTGTGTGTGTGTGTGTGTGTGTGTGTGTGTGTGTGTGTGTGTGTGTGTGTGTGTGTGTGTGTGTGTGTGTGTGTGTGTGTGTGTGTGTCTGCGGGCGCTGTGCGAGCCGCCCTGAACGACCACAATGTTGAGCGCGCTCGAGCACCGAAGCACCGCGAGCGCCGGCGAGCACCACCGCCCCGCGCCTTGGCGTGGGTCGGTAGTACACGATGCGGCGCCCAGCAGCTCTATCATGCGTCGCACCCGCAGTGGCCGAGCCGACCGCCGCTCGAACTGGCGCCGAGTGGCTCCCAGATCGAGCGTGGCAGGCTCAGTCGCACCGTCGCGGGGCGAACGCGAACCGAGCCGTCGCCGTTCGCCGCAGCCGCCGGCCGCCAGCCGTCAGCCGTACAGCCGTACAGCCGTCAGCCGTCAGCTCGCAGTCGCCGTCGCTGCCGCCGCCGCAGCAGCAGTGAGCGAGCTCCTGCGTCGTGTTGCCGACGCAGTGTGGACGCGCGCCGCCCAGCGGCGAGCGAGCGTGCTCGGAGTTGGGTCGGCGCGCGCGCGGGCGGACGGCGCCTGTAAACAGACAGCCTGCACCGCCCACTCGTTCAAAAACGTAGAGTCCTCACGTAGAGCCTTAGCTAAGATACGCGCCTACACGCGCGGTGGTCATTTTTGACCCACTTTCCGGGCCAGCAGCGGCGCCGCGCTCTTGGCGCGCGTAGGTACACTACTCGGGGTTCCTCTTCTCTCCGCCAACACCTCGCACCCACTTGCACATTCAACACACAACAGCATGTCCAGCTCGTGCGACCCCAGCGCCTGCCTGCTGCGCTCTGGCGCGGGCGAGTGGCATTCCGGCCAGTGGCAGTGGGCGAGCGAGGCACGCTGCTGCGGCTTTGGCGAGGTTGGGAGAGAAAGAGCTCGTGCACTCCTGCGCGGCCGCTCGCTCACATTCGTGGGTGACTCCACCGCGCGGCGGTGGCTGTGGGCGCTCGTCGACTCGGTGGGCGGCATGCGGCGGCGGCGTGGCCACGCTGTTCCAGACTCGAGCGCAGCCTTTGACTTCAAAGCCATCGCGCTCAACGACTCGATGTTCGACACGGCGCGCGCATACCACGCGGGGCAGGCGGTGCTGCTGAACGTGCGCACCGGCCGCTGGGTTGGACCTCGCCTCGCGGCGTCTGCTGCGGCCGCGTGCAGCGCCTCGGTGACTGCGCTCCCGCACGTACGCAGGTGATGCTCGACCCAGAGCAGCTCTGCGGCGTGCCTCGCAGCGAGTGGACGGTGGACCGGCGGTTCGTGCACGCGGTCGAGATGGGGCGCCCACCCCCGTGGAGCACGATGCGGGGCGTGCGCTACCGCCTCCTCGTCGAGGTTGCGTTGCGACGCGGCGCAGACGCGAGGCGCTCGCAGCTGTCGGCGGGCGAGCTGCGGCGGCTGGAGGCGCAGGTGGCGCTGCGGAGCATGCGCAGGCGCCGGGCGAGGGTGTGGGGGGGGGGGGGCGCGCCTCCCACGCTCGCATCGGGGTGACGACACGGCCGGCGCTCTGTTCAGGTTGGTGGAGGCGGCGCTGCCTCGAGTCGAATGCGCCGCAAAGAGCGCCCGCGCGGGGACGCGTTGGCAGCGCCGTCCTAACGCGCGGTGGCGTGTTGAGGCCGCAGGCGCGTCCCTCCCGTGCACGTACCAGGAGTGGATGGACCAGCAGTGCTCCAAGGCGCTTGTCAGGCCGGCGGCGACCTCTCCCAGCGCGGGGCAACCGGCCGGCGGCGCAGGCGCGCAGCGCGCCACCCGCCTGACCATCTCGATGGGCACGACGAGCGGCTATTGCGGGGCGCTCATGCACCGCATGGCCGCCAAGCTGCGCGACTGGACCTCCGACGGCGGCGACAGACCCCCCTCCTCCTCGGCCCCTCCGGCCACGGTCGCGCAAGCTGCCGGCGCGTTTCCTCCTCTGGAGCCGTCGCATCCCAGCCCCGCCGCCACACTCGAGATCAGACTCCTTCCCTCCCCCTCCTCTCCCCGCGCTCGGCCTCCGCGCCGCGCCTCTTCCCACGCCGCGCCTCTTCCCACGCCGCGCCTCTTCCCACGCCGCGCCTCTTCCCACGCCGCGCCTCTTCCCACGCCGCGCCTCTTCCCACGCCGCGCCTCTTCCCACGCCGCGCCTCTCTGTCGCAGGCCGCCTCCGCATCCTCACCGCCGTGCCCGATCCGATCTGCGACTCGTACTGCCGCCGGTCGTACCGGATGGTTTTCCTAGAAGCGGAATATCTCCCCATCTCTCCCCATCTCTCCCCACATCTCGGGCCCTAGAAGCGGAGTACGTATTCATGTCTCCCAACCAGCGCTCGAGAGAACGCGTACTCCGCTGTATTCGACCGTATTCCGCTGTATTCACTGTACTCCTCTCCGTTGTATTCATGCGGTGCTCTGAGTACGCTGCATAACACCGTCTTCACGCCCTCATGTCGGCGTATTCAGCACGCAGGATGGTTTGCCCGGGCGGGTACGAGCGGGCCATCGCCTCTGCCCTTCGCAAGCACCGCGCCGCCCTGCAGCTGCCGGCCGAGGAAGACCCACCCTCTGGGCCGGGGCAGGGCGTCGCGGGGCATCTCTCTGGCGACCTCACCCTCTTGAGCTTTGTCTACGCCGCCGACCTCGACAGCGAGTGGCGCGGGCTGCCGCAGCTCGCCTGGCCGGCGCAGACGCGGCGCACGCGGCGGACGGCAGAGGGGTGTCCCCCCCCGTTAGGCGCGCGACGCTGACGGGGTGGCAGGCCGACTCGTTCGGGCACGGCGCGCACCTCCTCTTCCTCGCCGCGACGTGGCTCGAGGTCAAGGGGCGGCCGACCGCGCCGGAAGAGCTTGCTTGGGACGGCAAGGTAGAGGCGGCCTGGAAGGACGTCCTGTCAGGGTGCGCTGCGGCCGCCCCGACACGGTGCGTGGTGCGGAGCGTGCTCGAGTCTGCGCGCGTGGAGGCGCGGGGCCGCCCCCGCCCCACGGCACTGCACCGCCGGCCGTGCCACCGACGGCACACACGCACGCACCAATCCCACGCACCAATCCCAGCACCCCGCGCCAGACCATTGCCAGCGGGTCAACCGCCACGCCTGGTCCTTGGCAGACGCGCCAGCTCTACCTCGCGCACGAGGCCAAGCTGCTGGCGCTCGCCGCCGCGCGCACGGTGCCCGCGCTGCCGTGGTTCAACGCGAGCTGGAGTGGCGTCCGACCCTAGAAGCGGAATATCTCCCCATATCTCCCCATATCTCCCCATATCTCGGGCCCTAGAAGCGGAGTACGTATTCATGTCTCCCAACCAGCACTCGAGAGAACACGTACTCCGCTGTCTTCGACCGTCTTCCGCTGTATTCACTGTACTCCTCTCCGTTGTATTCATGCGGTGCTCTGAGTACGCTGCATAACACCGTCTTCACGCCCTCATGTCGGCGTATTCAGCACGTAGGCGTCCGACGCGGCGAGATGCGCCACCACGACCACACGCGCATCCATTTCGGCGACGTCGGCCGCCTCTTCCTTGCCCAGCTGACCCTCAACGTGCTGCCGATCCTGCTCTCGCGGCCTGAGGAGACCCTCCCGCTCCTCCCGCCGCCGCGCGTCGAGCAGCGCATCAACTTGCATCGGCTGCGTGCGCGGCCGGGAGGCTAGCGCGCGCGGTGCCGCAGCCCCTCGCACAAGGGAAGGTTTGAGCCTATTTACGATGCAAAGAGTGAGTGCAGTCGAGGGGACAGGGGAGGGACGCGGAAGAGGGCGGGCGCCAGGAGGCGAAAGCCGGCGCTTCGAAACCGTGGTGTTTTAATCGCGTTCGGTGTACTTACCCCCCGTAAAAAGACGCCTCAGTTGACCTGGTCACACTCCCGACAGAGAGCTCCGCACCGAGCGCTGGTGCTCGATCCCTCTGGATTGCAGTCCCTCCGCCTCGAGGCCCTGGCGGAAGTTCGCCATCAACTGAGCCACGTTGCTGCCGCTCTCCGATCCCGGAATCGCCTTTTTAGGTGTCATGGGGGCAGGGCGATGGCAGTCGTATGCCCACTCCTCCAAGCCGATCATGGCACGTGGCGCGCCGATAAATATCCCGCGCCCTGAGGGCAGCAGGCTCAGGACTGCTTTCGTCACCTCGTCGCTTTTTGCAGCGAGAGTTTCAGAGAGCATCAACCTTAGCACAGCCACTTTGCTCGACGAGGTTCGCGAGGATCCTGTCTCGGTATCGTAGATTAAAAGCTCGGCCATAACCACCGTCCGCAGCGACGGGCTATCCCCAAAGGCCTTTGTAATTCTCTCAGCCCGCACGTGCTCCAAGAGCTGCTCCGCCGCCGCGTCGCTCACGCAGGAAGCAAAGATGAAAACCATCGGGAGAGGGGCGTCCGCGCCGCAGTTCCACATCTGACCTTTGACGCCCCATGCAATGGAACCTGCTCCGGTTTCAATCCGGTTCTCCTGGGGGGTGCACTTCCTGAAACAGGCCTGAAGGCCTTCCACGATCTCTTCTAGCCCAGTCTTGGTTGTTTTCACCGGCTTGACCTCGGACTGCTCCATGATGGATTGAAGGAGCCCATTCTCGGCCTCTTGCGCCGCGAGGAGATCCTCCATGGAAGTGTACACAGACCGCGCGATGATCATCCAGTTGGCCCCCTCCTCGCTGAGGAAGGTGCCCGATTCGATGCAGCCGCTCCTCGGCGTGGTGCGCCAGGCCTTCAGCTCCTTGTGCTCATCCATCAGGTTATCATGCATGCGCGGGAGCCGTATCCTCGCAACTCGGACCACGAGGTCGCTCGCGAGACCCTGGCTAAACTTCTCCATCTGATGCCGCCCATCGTACGATATGTCGACGCGCGACGGCATCCTCAGCCGAACGGCGAAGTTGTCGCGAGAGATCGAGGAGGACGTACAGTGGGTTTCTTCATGCCAGACACATCTGTGAGCCTGGCTGTTCTTCACCTTTCTACCTACCTACCTATCTGTGTGTCGCTCGTGCGTGTCGTCATCATCTGTCTTGCGTCCACCCATACCGCGTTGGTGTCCAGTCCGAGCCTGACTGTTCTTCACCTTACTACATACATACATACAGACCCATAAAGGTAGAGCGATATTAGGGACAGCACTGCCGAAGAAGTCGTATGCACAGGCCCGCCTCCCCAGCCGCGAAACAACTCCCCTAGCAGCCTCATTCCGTCCTTGCTGCTGCTGTTGCCTGTCGCTTCGCACGCCAGACAGACCGACGCAGTGCTGACGACGGGCGCTTTTTGGCCATGGTCGCAGTCTACTCCGAGGGAGTGGACGGCTTCTCGATTTCCGGCAACCCTAAGGTGCCAACGCCGGTCACTCTTCGCGAAGGCATCACGCTGATCTCCAACTCGTTCTCGCTTGGGCAGAACGACTATGTCGTGCTGACGGTCGAGGCGCCCAACGCTTTGACGTCGATCTCCCTCGCCGATTTGCAGCCTCGCGACTACGTGGGCGCCCTCCTTATTGAACGGCTCCCTTCACCTGACGCGCCGATCACTTACGAGTACGACTTCGCGTCGCCCAACTTCAACCAGACACACCCGGCCGATGGACTCCTCGGGTGGGCGATGCTGCAAGAAGACGCCATCGGCGACTCGATCCTCGGAGAGCGCGCAGCCGGCAGTGACGAGGTGACGTACTACCCCGGCGCGTCCGGCTGGTCCCAGCCACTGTCACAAGGCCACTACGGGTTTTTCTTTCGCCAGAGCGACGAGCATACTCTCAACACCTCGGCCACGCTTTCCTTTGACGTTTCGCCCCCAAGCGCGCACCCATCATGCGACAGTGGCGGCGGCAACCAACACGCTGTGGTGTTCATCTGCCTGGCCACGGTCGGCTGGGCATTGCTGTTGCTAGTGCTGGCGCTGGCCGTCCGACGCTCGCGGATCAAGGGGACTGCAGCTGACAAATGGGCGGCTACCACAGAAATGCAGACGTGATGCGCGAGCTGAGCCCTGGCTGTCAGGCTGTCAGGTGCTGTCAGGTGATCTGTCGGTCTGTCGGGCAGCTGTCAGGCACTGTCAGGTGCCTCTGTCAGACCAGCTGTCAGGTGCTGTCAGTGCTGTCGGGTGCTGTCGGGTGCGTGTCTGACAGGCGAGGGGATCTGTAGCTGTCGGGTGCTGTCGGAGCTGTCGGGTGTTGCTGTCAGACGCTGTCGGAGCTGTCAGAGCTGTCAGGCTGCTGCTGCTGTCAGACGTTGGGCTGTTGCTGTCAGGTGCTGTCAGCGGGGTGCTGTCAGGCTCTGACACACACCAGCCACACTTATGACACTATCAATAGGAGACCAGCAGGACTCTACTACATATACTCTAGCCTCTACTCTGCCTCCGGTCCCACCATCTTTTTCATGGTGGACGTCACCATCTTCTTGTCTGCCGCACTGAGGGAATAGCAGAGAGGCAGGGTGGAGTGCTTCTTCAGGTACACCTCTTGCTGATCCGATCTGGTAGTTGCTGGTCCAGCGGAAGGCCTCCCCATTGTTGTCGCTCGTCAGCTTGTAGTACTTGCACGCTCTGTTCTGGTGACTCGGCTTCCAACGAGTCTGTGGAGAAGGTGCGTGGGCGCCACACTCCTCTTCACCACCCTCCCGCCCACACCCACTGGGCACTGGCTTCCCTCCGCTCGCAGGGGGTGAAGAAGCTCGACCGCGCCACTTCGGCTACTACCAATGCGCAAAGAACGCTAGCTACATGGGAGGGCTTCGTGAAGGATGGATTGAAAAACATTCGAACAAAGAAGAGGCGACGGGAGGAACCGGCAGAGGATGCAGTGACGTGAGACACACACACACACACACACACACACACACACACACACACACACACACACACACACACACACACACACACACACACACACACACACCGCTCACCCACGCGCACTGGGCCTTGCACTTTGAATGCCGTGGGGCTCCTGTCGTCAGACGTGGAGACGCGAGGGTTGCCCCCCCTTGCCCCACCACCTCGTGTGTGTGGAGAAGTTTACCTTACCTTACCTTACACACACACACACACACACACACACACACACACACACACACACACACACACACACACACACACACACACACACACACACACACACACACACACACACACACACACACACACACACACACACACACACACACACACACACACACACACACACACTGCTCACCCACGCGCACCGGGCCTTGCACTTTAAATGCCGTGGGGCTCCTGTCGTTAGACGTGGAGATGCGAGGGTTGCCCCCCCTTGCCCCACCACCTCGTGTGTGTGGAGAAGTTTACCTTACCTTACCTTACCTTACCTTACCAATGCTCCTTGTGCGGCAAGAAGAAGGGCGCGCTCTAGGGGAGACTGGCGCGATCGGCTCGAACTGCTCCAACGTGTGCTGCGCCACACTGCCGGCGAGTCGCACCTCAACGCGTGGCTCGCCGACCTGCCGGTGGTGGCCGACGCTGGCCGAGCTGCAAACGTGCGTTCTCCTCGCCGTGTGTCCATCAATACCCGCACGCGGGGCACTCACCTCCCTCTCGCGGCGGTCGCAGGTCGTGTCGATCGCGCACAAGTGGCTCGGCAGCGCCCGCTCACAGCGCACCACGCAGACCAAGGTGCGGGGGCAGCACAAGGCGCAGAAGATTGCGACCAACGCGGCGGTGACGCCGCCGCCGTGGCCGCTGGCCGGGCGGCTACGCAGCTGCCCCCCTCCTACGGCGTGATCACGCCGGCAGGGGCGGCCGCCTGGGGAGCGCAGATGGCGGCGCAGGCGGCGGCGGCGGCGGCGGCACAGACGGCGGCGGCCACCCCCACCCAGACGCCGTAGGCATATGACTGTAGCGCACGTCTTCGGCTCGGTGACCAAGGGCATGGAGGTTGTCAAGGCCATCGAGGGCGTCGGCTCGCAGTCTGGCAAGACGGCGAAGCCCGTGATGATCGCCGACTGCGGCCAGATCTCGTAGAGCGGTCGCCGAGGGAATGTGGAGAGTTGAGGAGGAAGCGGACGGTGCTCAGGCAGCCTGGGACAATGTTAGCATGGGAGCGTGTCCCGCCGGCGTATGATCCGCTGGTGGGACAACGCAATACAACGCAAGAATATAGAAGAGAGGAAACCGGACTTTGAGGGAGGGGGGAGACTTATTTTATGTGGGGGGGCATGAGGGGGGCCGGGCCAGGGCCGGGCGCGGGGGGCACTTGATTTAAAGTCTGCTCCGGACCTCTGTTTGGCTTGTGGAGGTGGCGTACTGTGCCCGTGGGACGGGTCCCAAGCGTCCCCGGCACGGCATGGGTGCCCTGGATTGGTTCATGGGCGTGCGCACGGGCGACGGGGGCACTGGTAACGGAGGAGCTCGGGCGCCTGCCACGTAGTACCATTACTGTGGGGATTTAGGCTTCCTGTCTGCACGACTTGTTGAGGGACTTTGAGGGACCTCGAGGGACCCCAGTGTATGCCTGCAGTGCGCGAGGCGCAAGGGCGGCGTGTCAGCTGCTGCTGGCATCCCGGGGCGTCGCAAGCGAGCGTGAAAATAGTCGCGACCGTGAACAGAGGGTGTGCGCGTGCCGACGCCAACCGGGGCGGCCGCAGCTTCTGGATGGGGTGCTCCGGCTCCAAGGATGCGGCGCCGTCGCCATCTGCCTCTCTGGTGCTGAAGCCCGAGGGGATCGGCGTGGAGGCTGCTGCTGCTGGCAACGCCAGCATGGTCCTCGTCGCAGTCGGCACGTACACGCCAACCATTCACCTCTTCTCTCTCGATTCGAGAGCGGCGCTCACGCCAGTCGCCACCTCGACAGAGTTCGGCTCCAACCACGAGGCAATCGTCCTCTCGCCTGTGTCGGGCGACACCGCCACCCTTGTGGTGGCGAACAACAACGCCGCATCGACTGCGGCGAATGGCATAAGCGGCCCAGAGCACCTGCAGGGCGAGACGCACATGCATACTGCGCGAGTCTCTGCCGCGGGCAACGTCGAACCGTGCACCAAGCTGCTCTTGCCCGGCGAGGGGCCCATCCACGCTTGCGTGCATCCCTCGGGCACGGTGGCCATCGCCAATTACGTGGGTGGGACCATGAATCTGGTCGCGGACGGCACCGTGGTGAGCACAGAGAAGCTCGCCGAGCCGAACCACGGAGGATCCGCCCACATGGCGACGTTCGACGTGAGGGCTGGCGCCAAGGGCTTTGTCTTCGGCGTCAACGCGGGCAGTCCTCCGAGCGTAGCTGTGATCGAGCCGAGCACTGGCAAGATCTTACACGCGGTGGCGATGCCGGTGCGTGTGCGACGGCTGTTTCTGCATCCCAGCCTGCCCGTTGCGTACATCATCTACGAGGCGGAGGGCGACGTGGCGACGTGGACGTGGCCGCGCTCCGACGAATGGAACGCGGACGGCACCCCTCAAAGGATGCCCAAAGAGCTGCAGCGGTGCAAGACGTCGCCGCACGACGGCTTGAACCTGCCCACCTCGTTTTCTCTCACCGCCAAGGGTGACTTCGGCTACACCACCACCCGCACCGCCCGCGTGCCCGGCGGCGACGGCCGACCACCGGCCCCAGTGGGCGTGTTCGAGGTGGATGCGGCTGACGGCACACTCACGCACCGCCAGTGGGTCGACAGCGGCGGGTGGAACACGCGCGACAGCGTGCTGAGCCCGGATGACAGCGCGCTGCTGGCGGTGGACGTCCTCGGCGGCACGCTGACTGCGTTCAAACGCGACCCGACGAGCGGGATGCTGGAGAAGAGCGCCGTGGTCAGCGCGCCCAAGGCCACGGGGATCACCGTGTGGAAGCCGGCCTCGTAGTTGACTTGCACAAACACACGGTGTCGTGCTTGTGCTTGTGCTTGCTGCGCTTGCTGCTTGCCACCTTGCGCTGCTGCGCTGACCGGCGCGCGGGGCGCGTCGTGCCTAGGCGATGGGCGAACGCGCTGAGTTTTACGGCACACCATGCACGTCACCTACGACATCGGCAATGTCGACCGTATCTGACGTCATCTCGACCGTATCTGGCGTCATCTCGACGTCATCTGACGTCATCTCGACCGCAATGGACGCAACGGACTGAGCCTTCTCCGATTTGAGGGAGGGCGGCGGCTTGGCTGGGGGGCAATAGACCCGGCGCAGCTGAAGGAGGACGCCGCCGGTACGCAGCAGGAGTAGAAGGATGCACAACGTCGACCACGCCACGCGGAACCCAGTATGCAAAGCAGGGAGGCCCGTGATGACCTCGTGCAGGCACACAGTAGCAAATGCATTGGAGCCATTCCTCACGAGCACGTAAGCGAATAGCGCGAGCCGACTCTGCGGCCAGAGCGAGAGCAAATTGTAGAAGCCCGAGCCGATCTCGGCAACCACACCGGTGGTTGTTACCAGACCGGCGCCGGCGTTTACGAAAAGGCACATTCCGAGGCCGGCGAAGGTCGCAAGGTGGTGGACCCAGAAGGGTGGTGTCATCCTCTCATATTCGAAGCAATCTTTGAGCTCAACCGCAAAGGTCGCGTAAATGCTGTGCCGCCCCAGGGACGCGAGCGGCCGCGATCCGCTCTGCAACAGTGCCCAGGAGCCCGTCCACCACTCCGTGAGACCGACGGTGGCCGACGCTAGCAGCGGCAGAGTCAGCAACATGATAGTGCACACGATTTCTTGGTGAGCGTGTTGGGTGTTGATACCGTACCTATAGCGCACACTGACATCGCCGGTACGCACCCCGTACCCCTCTCCTTACTCCCGCGACATCGCGGTCCACCCCCCTTCTCGCGCGTTGAAAAACCAGGTTGAGCTGCGAGCCTCAACTTGGCAGGGTCGGCGTTCATGATAGCGGGCACGGAATGAAGAAAAGAAGACATGTGTGCGTACGTACGTGGTGAAATCTCGATAGATTCGAGGGGCCAGGATACGCCGCGAGGAGGACGGAGTTGCGCCGAAAGGCGAAAGAAGCCGCGAGAACAAGGGACCGGCAGGCGGCGGCGTCACAGGACGAGGCAGAAGGGAACGACGCGACAGAGGAGGAAATGACAAGGGAGAGAACGACGAGAGTGGGACGACCGCGAGGTGGCATGAAGGTTGCAGCGAGAATCGGAGAGAGACTGCGAAGAGAGATAGGAAGAGGCGGACTTCCTAGGGTGGGCGACGGCTAGCGCACCACACACCTCTCCTTAAAATCCCTGTGTGGTGGCGGCGTGCCGTCCTCCCATCCCTCCCTTGGGTTGTCTGTTTTCTTTCTTTCTTTCTGGTGAAATCTCTTCAGCCATATGCGTCGCGTCCACCCCGCCCGCTCGCGCCCGACTTTCTACCTCGTGACCCAACCCGGAACCCGCCACCCCCCTCGCCTCGTCACCCTCCCGCCGCCTCGCCGCCACCCCGCCCGCTCGCGCCCGACTTTCTACCTCCTCGTGATCCAACCCGCCACCAACCTGGTTTGTGGACCTCCCGCACCTGTCCTGACAGTCCTGACAGAGTCCTGACAGAGTCCTAACAGAGTCCTGACAGAGTCCTGACAGAGTCCTGGCGGGGTCCTGACGGCGCACGGTCTTCACAGTGCTCACAAGTGCCTCCGACGAGACCTCCACCTTCCTTCACTGCAACCCTCCTTCCCCTCCCCCCCAGCAGTGAATGATAGACGCCCAGCCCCCCTTTCGACCGTGCGCGCCCTCTGCGGAATCGTCCTGATGGGGCAGTCCTGACGCAAACTTGAGAGTCCTGACAAGCAAACTTGAGAGTCCTGACAGAAACTTGAGAGTCCTGACAGAAACTTAGAGTCCAGACAGACAAAAGAAATCACCTCACTCTCGCGCCACTCGGCTCGACCATGAAAGCGCACAAGCAAGAGAGGCGCGGCCATGGTGCAGGCAACGTTACAGCCGGCAACGTGCAAGAAGGCAGCAAAGCTCGGCCACGACGTCCATGGCCCGCGCCCCCCCGATTTGCCACCGGCGGCCTGCAGGCCAGCGCCGAGCAGCGGACCGACTGCTGACCGACTGCTGACCGACTGCTGACCGAGGCAGCGCCCACGGCAGCGCCCACAGCAGCGCCCACGGCAGCACCCACGGCAGCACCCACGACAGCGCCCACGGCAGCGCACACGGCTTGGCTGGCCATGTCAGCCGCGCAGGGACCCTCCCGCGGGTCCAACCCGAAGCGCTCGACCGCTCGACGGCGCAAGTCGGCTGACGGAGCGAGCCGCATAGCCCTCCAGTGCTCACCGCAGGATCAGGCCCGACCGGCCTACGCTCACGGCCTGGCCTGCCTGTGGACCAGCAAACTCGTTGGCTGTACGCGAGCAAAGAGCTGCGTGGCTGGGTTGTGAGCATACCGTCCCCGTTGCGCCCTTTCCCTCAGTGGAGGGCCGTCCCTGCCCTCGGGAGTAACTCGACTGTACACCCCTCCCTACTCTCTAGCTAAGGGCTCTGTTCACAGCGGGGGGGCAGTGGTTGTCCTGGCGGAGTCCTGGCGGAGTCCTGACAGAGTCCTGACAGAGTCCTGACAGAGTCCTGACGGAGTCCTGACAGAGTCCTGACGGCCTATTTTGGAGGTTTTCAACTTTGAGGTATTGTTACTATGTGAGGGTGAAATGAATGAATCAGTTCTTTGGGACAGTGCAATCCTTTTAATTATTACCTCCAACTCAAAAAAAGTCTGATGTCAAACGGACAACGGGGTCCCTTATGGTGGCCTGTAAGGGTAAGGTGCGGGAGGTCCACAAACCAGGTTCACCCCCCTCGCCTCGTCACCCTCCCGCCGCCTCGCCGCTACCTCGCCCGCTCGCGCCCGACTTTCTACCTCCTCGTGATCCAACCCGCCACCCCCCTCGCCTCGTCACCCTCCCGCCGCCTCGCCGCCACCCCGCCCGCCCGCGCCCGACTTTCTACCTCCTCGTGATCCAACCCGCCACCCCCCTCGCCCGTCACCCTCCCGCCGCCTCGCCGCCACCCCGCCCGCCCGCGCCCGACTTTCTTGTACCTCCTCGTGATCCGAACCGCCGCCACCCTCGCCTCACCCTCCCGCCCGAAATGCTCCGCCGTTCCTTCGCCGCTGTGGTCTGCCGTCGTGCCACCGTTCCTTACCGTGCCGCTCCTTCCTCCGTGCCACCGAGGCTTCGACCACCGAGGCTTCGGCCACCGAGGCTTCTGCCACCGAGGCTTCGGCCACCGAGGCTTCGGCCAACGAGGCTTCGGCCAACGATATTATTGCTGCCGCCCCCCCTGCCGTCCGTTACCGCCGTGCCGCCGTACCGCCGCTCCTACAGTGCCGCGCCCGCCGCGCCGTATGTCCCGCCGTCCGATGTCCTGCCTGCCGCCTGCTGCCGCCGCGCCGCCTTACCGCCGACCCTTATCGTGCCGCGCCGCCTTTACACACACACCTTACTTTCTGCTCGACCGAGTTTGCGCTGATGAGCGAACCGAGCCGCCGGGTGCCCCGCAGCGGCCTCGCTGGGCCAGAACATCGGCCCCGAGTGCTCCGCAGCAGCCTTGCTGGGCCAGAACGTCGGCCCGCGAGGTGGGGTGCTAGTCTGGGACCCATACGTGGCAGTTCCCTTGCTCCAAGCGCTTGCGCTTCGGCGGTAGTGATCTGATCACCCGAATACCACGTTCGGATCGCTCCTCATCGCAAACCCTGTCAGCAGTTCACCTACGGGTATGTTCGTAAGAGCTACATACACTGAAAAACTTGTCGCGACGCGCACCTACAAAAGAGAGACCGCGTACCCTCCCCACTCCCGCCTCTCATTTGTGTCAAACCACGCGGAACGCATCTCCATCGCTTCGGTGAAGGGGGTGAACCGTGCCATCCTCGATCGCCGTGCTAAGCTCGCTTCCGAGCTCTCGGCAAGCTTACTGTGGGTGGATTGAGAAGTACGGCTGGTGGATCCGCCCAAATCGTACCGTGGGTGGATTGTACGTGGGTGGATTGTACTGTCGGTGGATTGAGAGTTCCGCTGGGTGGATTGAGGCGATGTCCGCTGGGTGGATTGAGATTTGTTCGTCCGGTGGATTGTACGTGGGTGGATTGAGAACGTACGGCTGGTGGATCCGCCCAAATCGTACCGTGGGTGGATTGTACGTGGGTGGATTGTACTGCCGGTGGATTGAGAGTTCCGCTGGGTGGATCGAGGCGATGTCCGCTCGGCGGATTGAGAAGTGTTGGGCCAGTGGATTGAGGAGTGTTGGGCCAGTGGATTGAGGAGTGTTGGGCCAGTGGATTGAGGAGTGTTCGGCCGGTGGATTGAGGAGTGTTGCGCCAGTGGATTGTCGGTCCGGACTCCGGTGGATTGAGATTCAGAGAGACCGTCACCCCCGCCGCGAGCGCGATGTTGGTTAGGAAGCACACCAACACACATTACATACAGTTATACACATATATAGCATATACAGGTGGAACACAGCGGCCACCCCTCTCCGGCACCGGAGAAGAAGTGTGGCCGCTGAGTCTCTCTAGATCTCATCTCTTCCCTCAGAGCCTCGGCAGAGGGCCGCTACCCCTACCGTGACAGGCAGTCATCCTTGGGTATCTCTGATCTCCACTACTGCTACAAGGCTACAGCAATAGTACTCTCTATCTCATCTCTATCTCATCTCGCTCGGCGGCTGCTCGGCGGCTAGTAGTCGCCGATTTTGAGGCAGTTGCCCCGCTTGGTCACCTTTGGCCCCGCCGGAGCCTTGCGCCGACCGGCGGGCTCGGTGGAGAATTGGACGGGCACAGTCACCTCTTTGCGGTAGAGGGCCAGGCCAATCGCGTGCTTGCAGAAGTAGTAGTGCTGGAACTGCGGGCACGAGCAGGTGTACACGATGCCGACGTTCTTGAGGTCGGTCGCCAATTCCACACAAACAATGACTAAAGAATGGTGCGAATACATCCAGGCTGTGCCCAAACAGCAACCCGCGGGTGGTCGGCGGGGACAGCCTTGAGGACCCAGAAGGAGAAGACGTAGTCCATGAGGGTGTCAAAGTCCCACGGCTAGAATGCGATGCACGGACAACGCACTCTCTCTCGCACCTCTAAGTGTGTGTGACATGGCGTGTGTTCATAAATATACACGTAAAATGCTATCCTCGACGAGCTGCTTCTCGTGCAGCGCCTGCTCGCACAATCGGCCATCACTCAGCCATCACTCGGCCGTCAGTCACACGGCCGTTACATGGGCATTACATGGCCGTCACTCGGCCATCACTCGGCCGTCACGTGGCCGTTTAGGGATGGGCATCATAATTATGGCTACCCCATAGCCATCACAGAGCAACCGCATAGCCATCTCACAAAGTAACGCGACTACTCGGGCGACGCCTGCAACGGATGCAGCCTACAACTTGATTACAAGTGGACTACACCTTTATTGCGCCTTGCTTTGTGTGGGCTGTGATCGCCGAGATCGGAGCGCTGTAGAGTGTAGTGGGGGGGGGCTCCGGAGGCTGGTTACTGATATGGTTCTCCAGAAGGGGGCGACCGACACATCATGAAAGCAGCCAGAGCCACAATGCCACATCCCACATGCACGTTTTGATGTAGGAGCTCGCAGGGGACGACGCACGTCTGGTGACGCTCAAGGACTGCACTCTGTGTGATTCGAATGTGTGATCGCATTCCTCGACAACCTATTTATTGGCAATGAGTTTGTCGTATGCGACTTACTAGCGCCTCGCCGCTCGCGCACTGAGCCCTGGTCTGACATCCTGACAGCGGCAAACCCCGGACAGCGCCTGACAGTGCCCGACAGCCTGACAGCGCTGACAGCACTTTCTCTGACAGTCTGACAGCACGTGTCTGACAGCCTGACAGCAGAGTCTGACAGGCGAGGGGTCCCGTCGCTGTCAGGCCCTAACGTGACAGCCTGACAGTTGCCTGACAGCCCGACAGCACACAGTGGCCTGACAGCAGCGCTGACAGCCCGACAGCAGCACAGACCGTACACAGTCCCCGTAGAGCCTCTTTCTTGTGCCCCATGAGGGTATAACAAAATTACATGCAAAGACATGTACATGTACATGTGACATGTGAGTGTGGTCCATGTCCATGTCCATGTCCATGTAGTCATGGGATGGTCATGGGTCTCTCTCTCAACCCTCCCGCCCGCCACCTCTGCGGACCCCTCTCTAGCACCGCCGGCTGTGCTACTAGCTACCAGCTAGCCTTCTTAGCCGTTAGCGCCATCGCCATGGTGCTGCAAGCAGCGCCGGGCGACGACGACTTACCGTCTCCCGGTCCCCCTCGGCACACCTCCGCTGCTCAATGTTTGACGGCTCGAACCCGTGAAGCTTCCCCGTGCGCGGGTTACCCCGCACACGGGTCAGCCTGCCAGCCACGTACCCACGCAAGCGTGGTCCGCGTGCATGGCATACAGGCGTCTGCCAGACAGCGCAGAGGCTAGGCGACCGGGGAAGGACTAGCTCAAGGGCAACACAGCGTCACCAGCCGTTGGCGCGCAGAACGAGTCTGCGGCCCCCGGTTGGGACGAGTGCGCGACGCGGACGAACCGCTCAATGTGGCCGGCAGCTCGCGCTGCCGGCGGGGTTGGTTGGGGAGAACCGGCACGGGGAGGGCCGGTCTCCCGGACGCGGCGACGGTGGTGGCCCCTCACCGCCCCCCCCACCGACGCGGGCCTGCGCGTGCGGTGGCGAAGGCTGCCCGCCCGGCCGCGCCGGCCCGTCCTGGCCCCGCCGGCCCCCCTTCCAACCCTCACCGGCCTGCTGGAAGAGCGCCCTCTTCGCGGGCGCGGTGGGGCCGGTGTCAGCGTATCCCTGCGCCCCGCCGGCGATGCGCTCCGCCTTCGAAGGCGGGCTGCCTGTCGGCGGCCCTCGCTTTGTGCTCGCGCCGGCCAGCTTGCGAGCCTCATCGGCTCTCGGGCAGGATGCCCTGTGCTGCCTGTCTGCAGCGCAGGCCGTAGCACGCAGTATTTGGGCCAGCCGGGACCGCGCCGCACGGCGGGCGGCCGGGCAGCACAGTGGTCCGGCGCCCTGCGCCGCGACGACTGGCTGCCGGTTCGAATCTACACCGCCGCCGCCGCCGCCGCCGCCGCCGCCGCCGCCGCCGCCGCCGCCGCCGCCGCCGCCGCCGCCGCCGCCGATCTTTTGGCCTGCGCCAACACCGACATCCAGCGGCTGCGTGTCGGTGCGCGGGGCGGCGAGCGGCTCAGCGGCACATAAGGCACCCGCCGCGGGCTGTGTGCACTCCAGCAGCTCAGTGGAGCCAGAGCACTCCAGGTCGCCCGCCGACTGGCCGCCAGTTCGAAACCGCAGGGTCCCACGCGTGGCCGGCGGCGCCGGCGGCGGCGCAGCCGCCAGCCGCCATGCCGCCAGCCATCGGCTATCTCGCCATCGACGCCGCCACCATCCTCGCCTCCGCCACCGTCTTCGGCGGAGGTACCCACCGCCGGGCTGTCGGGCGACAGCAGCAGCGACGCCATGAAAGAAAGAAAGAAAGAAAACAGAGAAGCACCCAAGGCGCCATAGAAACGCGGGAACGCGCGAATTTTTGCCAAGCGGCCCTTAGAACCCTGCGGCGCGAGCGCCTGCACGAAATCCGCGTTTGCTCGCTCCGCTCCCGCTGCAAGCCCACTTCGGCGGCATCGGCATCCGGCTACCTATGCAGCCGCCGACGACGAGGCGAGCGCTGTTGCTGGCAGCAGCGGCTGCAGGCGTCTCGCGCAGCAGCGTCGCCGACGTCTCTGTCGCAGACCGAGTCGCTCAGGACATGGCTTTGAGGGCGGCGGAGCTGCGCCAGGACGTGGCTTACCCGCCAGCGCTGCTCGGCGACTGGCGCTGCCGCCGCGAGGTGAGCCGCGTCGATGGGGAGGTCAGCGAGGCGACTACGGTCTGGAAGGCCCTCGGTGGCGCCGGCGACCTTCGCCGGCCGGAGCAGTTCGCTGTTCGCTTCATCGCCACACCAGACACCCGCCGAAGGGCGTGCGTGCTTGACCGCGGCTTTGAGTATTCGCAGCGGTCGGGTTTGCCTCCCGCCGCGGTGACCTGGAGTGGCGACGCGCCGGACCGGCTGAGCGCCCGTATGACTACGCGTGAGGCGATTGACATTGAAGTCTTGACGAGAGACGTGCGGCCCTTCAGCCCCGATCCTCCGTACGGCTTCGGCTTCACCGAGAAACTGCGCATACGGTTGCAGCGCGAAGGTGAGCCGACGGAGATCACTGCAACTCTCTCGCGGCAGCTCGCTCCCGCCAGCGACGGCGCGATCGAGGGCTCCGAGACGCTCGCAACCTTTCGCTCCATCTATGTGAGCGGCAGCCGCGTGGCGGCGCCAAGCAGCACCCTGACCTCCCGCCTGAGGCTGACGCGGGAACCCCGGTGAGGAGGCTACGAGAGTTGGAAAGGACACTCTGGTGCTCACGGTCACCAGTCAGGAGCCGGCGGGTATAAAGCCGATTTACGTCACAGACGAGTAGAGATACTTGAGTAGAGCCGTAATCGGGGCACATGCCCCCGTCCTGCTGGTGTAAAAATCAGGCCTCGCTGCTGAGCACACATGCGTCAAATGCCGCGCCGGTCTTAGACGGCATCTTTATTCTTCACGCTCGGCAGCCTATCGCGCTCCCGCGCCGCCCGGTACTCCCTTCGCTCCCGGTTCCGCGCCTTTCTGCCGGTGCCCGCCGGCCTCGCGGCGTGCACCCGCTCGTACGCCCGGCTCAGGCCCTCGCTCGCCCTCGCCCTCGCGGCGCTCCCCTCCCAAAGCCTCGCCCCGCCGCTCCCTTCCCCCCTCCGGAAGGCGACGACGACGCGGTTCGACGACGGCGCGCACGCCTCCACGACCCTCAGCCTCGCGTCGTACCCCGCAGCCTCGAGCCGGCCGAGCAGCGCGATGTCTGCGACGACGCCGAGCGGCAGCCCGAGGGCGTCCGCCGCGTGTTTCGTCCGGTCGGCCCCTGCGACGGTGCGGCGCGAGTGACAGCACGGCATCACAGCGATGCCGGCGGCCCGCTCGGCGACGGCAATCTCGACCAGGTCCCGCGTCAGGTGCGCGCAGGCGTGGCAGGCGACGACTACAGTGCCGCCGCCGCCGCCATCACCACCACGCAGGAGGTACGGCAGCGCCTCATCGAGCGGCCTCTCGTCGTACTGCAGCGAGTACGACTCGGGAAGCAGCCCTGCTTCGCGGAACGCCGACAGCAGCGTGTCAAAGGACCGAGGTCGGAACGGGTCTACAATAGTCGCGTCGCGCGACAGCCCGAGCGACAGAAGAAGTAGCGACACCAGTCCGTGTCCACCGGCGACCTCTATGCAGCGCGAGGGCGATCCTGCCGCCAGCCAATCCTTGCGAAGCCGCTTGATGAAGCCGAGCGACTCGGGAAGCTCCTTATCACCCGGCGTGGGGCCTTGAGCCAGGCGGATAGCGCGGTAGACTCGCCGCTCGACGGTATCGCCGCTCTCGTCGCAAAGCTCGCACTGCGCGGTGGCCATGCCAAACAAGGGCCGACGCTGCCACGCGCCCGCGAGACGGTTTTGGGCGGGCTGGAGGGCGGGGCAGGATGCGGAGGGTGTGGAGGTGGCACCCGCGGACGGGGTCCGGGACGGTCGAGGCCGTCAAGGGCCAGTACACGGACGCAGAGGGGAAGTGCCGTGTGGAGGAGGCGCTGCTCTTCGAGGAGTTCGGCGCAATGAGCGCGGGGGTAAGCCGTCGTCGCCCGGCGCTGCATGCAGCACCGTGGCGATGGCGCTAAGAGGTTCCTCTTTTCCGCGCCCCCCCCGCAAGGCGCGCGATACACGGGTGGAGGAGCTGCTGACGCGGGTGGCTGAGGTGGCGGGCCGGAAGCTCACATGGTGGCAGTACGACCAGACGTCGTGGTCGGCGCGCGAATGGATGCCGTTTGCGCTGCAGCGACTGTCGGTGCAGCTCTGGGTGGCGCTCGCGGACGAGGCGCAGCGCGCCATTGGTGCGGCGTCACGCGGCCGCGAGGGACCGCGGGGGAATGCTAGTGGGATGGGGGGCTCTGAGGGGAAGGGAGCGGGGGGCGCCCAGTAGGGCGCCGGCACCCCAGCGTAGAGGAGGCTGCCCCAAAGAGGCCATCCTCACCCGCCGCAACAGGCATAGGCGCCGCCCCCGCCACCGGCCACGCCGCTGCCTCGTCGTCGACGACGGCGTCAGGCGAGCTTGCAGGCGTGGCAAGCAGCGGCCTCGGCGCCGAGGGCGCGGCCATCAAGCGATCTCGCGAGGGCGACACCTCTGCTGCCAACAAGCGATCGGCGTCATGCCCTACTATGCGCGCGGGCGTGATGGCCGGCGGTTTGGCGGCGCCCAAGGCAGTGGGGACTGGCAATGGCTCGTTGGTTGGCCGGACGGTCTATGAGGGGGGCGACGGCTTCTTTGTCGAAAAGGACGGCAGACCCCTTAAGCTGAACGGGAAGCGTCGCTGGGTGCGCGACAACGGCGTGCAACGCCAAGGGCAAGACAATGATGTGACGAAGTACAAGCAAAGGGCGGCCGCAGAGGCCGCGCACGAAGCTGAGGAGCCAGCAGCAACTGAGGTAGAGGAGGCGGACGCCGAGGAGGACGCCACGAAGGTCGGTGATGGCGCGGCAAGCAGCGGCCTCGGCGCCGAGGGCGCGGCCAGCAGCACCAAGCGACTCTCGCGAGCTCCAGATGCTCCAGCTCCAGCTGCACCAGCCGTGGACCCGGTCACGGAGCATCTCTTCTACGAGGGTGGAATTGGCCGCAAGATGGTTGAGGCCGAGACAGCCGCCCGCGCCGCGGCCGAGGAGGACGCCGCGCCCTCGGCCAGCAGCAAGCGATTTCGCGAGGGTGAGGAAGACGACACCTCTGCTGCTGACAGCAAGCGCCAAGGGCAAGACATTGCTGTGACGCAGTCAACATCATGCACACCGGCACACACACAAAATCATGTTTCGTATGTTACGCGTGTATATGCGGCACACCACTCTCCACTGGCACATGCAGTCGTGCGTCCGCGGGCTCCGGCGCGCGATACGGCTTTAGTAGCAAGTAGGATATGTGGGCTTGTGTATAGCGTTATCACCGAGCTAGACGACACCACACGCGAAACCCGAAACGCAAGACACTCCATATACAACAGCCGCGCGGCGCACACCGAGCACCGACATAGGTGAAACACATGCACGTGTCAGAGAACGGCAACCGCGGGTGCCGCCGCCACCGACGCGGCCCCTCGCTGCCGCCGCCGCCGCTTCTTCTCCCTCCGCCGCCGATCGCGCCGCTCCAGCGCCGCCGCCTCGAGCTCGGCCCGCGAACGCGACTCGGGCGAAGACGCGCCGCCCGCCCCCCCCGTCTCGCCCAGCTCGCCGTCGGCCGAGACCGCGGCGGTGCGGTGGCGCCAGTACCACGACGCGGCGGCGTCAAAGCGCGGCGTGTGGAAGGCCGGCTGGTGGTGCGAGCACGCCGCCAGCCGCTCGACGACGGGCTCGACGTCGTCGAGCGAGGTCGCCTAATTAACTAATTGATGAGTGATAACTCCTTAATTAGTTAGCTCGACGTCGTCGAGCGAGGTCGCCTAATTAACTAATTGATGAGTGATAATTACTTAACTAATTAGCTCGACGTCGTCGAGCGAGGTCGCCTCGCAGGCACAATGCTGCTGCTGTCACGGGTACCCCCGTGCTAGGACAAGGAGGCCCCACGGGTCACGGCGTCTCCACACTAGGCGAGTCACACATGTGTCGTGATTGGGATCAAAGCGCTGACTGAGAGTCATGAATGAGTGCAGGCACAAGTCGCCCGCAAGTGACCGGTGAAGTACGACACGGCGGACGCAGTGTGTCTCGGCCGTCTCTCGGCTGCACCTCGGCCGACTCTCGGCTGCACCTCGGCCATCTCTCCGCTACATCTCGCCTCGAGGAGGTCCTCACGAAGCAGCGGCTGGTGCCGCAGAGGGGCGTGCAGCAGCTTGAACAGGTGCGACCGGACCTAGCAGAGGGGCGTGCTGAGCCTGGCTGTTGTTTGTATGCGGAGCCTGGTTGTGGGTGGCGCTGTCTCTCTCCAGACGAGGCATTCGTGAGGACGGGTGGGCGGGTGCGAGCGGACGTGGCCGAGGGTCGGCGGCGGTAGCTGGCGGCACACGCGTAGGTAGCGGCGCGCAAGCTCGGGCTGGTCGAGGTAGGCGCCCGAATCGGGGTCGACGTTGGCGCAGAAGAGGGCGGGGTTCTCGAGCAGCGCCTCGGACGACATCACCGCCGCGGCGCCTGTTCACAGGAGGGCCGGTGTGAAGAGACGCCGTTCACAGCAGCGCCTCGGACGACATCACCGCCGCGGCGCCCGTGCGTGCGAGGCACTCGGCAACGTCGTCGGCGGTCGCGATGCCCCCGTTTGCGATGACGGGGATGTCGAGCGCCTCGACGATGCGAGCAATCGCGGCCCAGTCCGCTGGGCCCGAGCGGTGCTTGTTTTGCTCCTTGGTGCGCCCGTGCACGCACAGAGCCGAGGCGCCAGCCTCTTGCATCCGGCGGCAGAGAGCGACGCTCGCGTCCACCGACGGGAGCAGCCGCACCTGTTCGCGCCGGAGGTGTGTGACACTGTTCCCTCGCAGCGCTCGCCGACGGGAGCAGCCACAACCTCTGCGGTGACCTCCCCTTTGCGGACAATCTCGGACAATCTCTCGGACAATCTCGGACGATCTCACCTTTGCGGTGACCGGCACGTCGAGCCCCTCGGCGAGGGCGCGGACGAGCGAGACGGCCAGCTCGGGCTCGTCGAGGAGGAAGGCTCCGTACCGCCCCTTCCGAGCGATCCCCTGCGGGCACCCAAAGTTGATGTCCACCGCGTCGACGTGCGACTGCACGAGCCGGCCCGCGGCGAGGAGAACCGACGCGTCGTGCCCTGCGAGCTGTGCCACCAGTGGCCGGTCGACCCCGTCCGGCTCGGGATCGAAGGTGTGCGCACGGTAGGCCGGCGCCTCCACCATCAGCCGCGCGTGAAGCATGGGTGTGTAGGCGAGTTGCACGCCGAGTGAGCGGGTGAGGACGCGGAACGCGGCCTCGGACTGGTCGACCATCGGCGCGCAGACGTGCCGCGGGCTGCCAATGCTGCGCCAGAAGTCCCAAGCGGAGGCAACCATTACTGGGGCGTGGTGCGCCCCGCGGGCTCCACCCGCGGGCTCCACCGAAGGAACAAAACTCTTGTGCACCCTCCAGGGGGGGGGGGGGGGGCGTCCCTCCCTTGGGTTGTCTGTTTTCTTTCTTTCTTTCTTTCTTGATGTGGTCGAAGAGGCAGACTCCCCAGGGTGGGCGACGGCTAGCGCATCACACTCCTCTCCTTAAAATCCCTGTGTGGTGGCGGCGTGCCGTTCTCCCATCCCTCCCTTGAGTTGCCTGTTTTCTTTCTTTCTTTCTTTGATGTGGTGGCATGAAGGTTGCAGCGAGAATCGGCGAGAGACTGCGAAGAGAGATAGGAAGAGGCAGACTCCCTAGGGTGGGCGACGGCTAGCGCACCACACACCTCTCCTTAAAATCCCTGTGTGGTGGCGGCGTGCCGTCCTCCCATCCCTCCCTTGGGTTGTCTGTTTTCTTTCTTTCTTTCTTTGATGTGTGTGATCTGTAAGGGTCCGCCCGCAGGCGCATTTTGTATACCGAAGTGCGTGAATAGGGTTGGCAGCTTGGTAAACCCTCGGTGCTGGCTGGGCTGACGGGTAGAGCTGTACACGGTGACAATGTCCGCCTCGCCCGCCCGCGCCAGCGCCGCGCGCCGCACGCCGCCTCCTCCGTCGGCGGAGCGCGGCGGCGACGTCCCTGCAAGCATTCGGAAGGCCGCCAAGGATGGCCAAGCGGGAGCGGTGCTGGCGTGGTTCGACGGCGGCGGGTGGGTCGACGCGACCTTCGAGTACACCTTTGATGACGGCTCTCGTGAGAGCGAAATGACGCTGCTGATGATCGCAATGTCCAATGGCCACGAGGAGCTGGCCGAGGCGCTTCTGCGGCGCGGTGCAGATGTCTCGTTGCAGAACAACGACGGCAGCACTGCGCTGATTCTCGCTGCCACGAACGGCCACGAGAACCTGGTCGAGCTGGCATTGCAGCACGGCGCGGAGATCGATCAGAAGTACAGCGACGGCGACACTGCGCTGATGGACGCCGCCTACAGAGGCCACGAGCGGGTTGTCGACACGCTGATCCGGCACGGCGCAGAGATCAACCTGCAGGCCAGCAACGGCGGCACCGCGCTGATGCTTGCCGCCCTCCACAACCATCCCGCCGTGATGCTTCGCGTGCTGCGGGCGGGCGCTGACATGACGCTGCGGTCTAGAGGCGGCAGGACGGCGCTGCAGATTGCCAAGGAGGAGGGCCACGCCGAGTGCGTGCGCGCCCTCGAGGAGCATGCGGCGGCCAAGGCGGCGGGTGAGGCGGCGGCGAAGGAGGCGGCGTGGGCTGCGGGGGCGGCGGAGAGGGAGGCGGAGAGGGCGGCGGCGGAGAAGGAGGCGGCGCGGCACGCCGACGAGCTGCTGGCGGAGGTCGAGGCGGAGAAGCGCGCCAAGGGCAAGAAGGGCAAGAAGAAGAAGAAGGGCGGAGGGGCGGGCGGGGCTGGGCCGTCGCAGGAGACGATGGCGGCGGCGGAGGGTGATGAGGCGCCGTTGGAGGCAGCCGAGGCTGCGAAGAAGGCCGAGGAGGAGAGGATGATCAGGCTTCTCGAGAAGTGTCACGAGGAGAGGATCCGGTTCGGCATCACGGCGGAGAGCCAGGCAGCGGCGTCGGCAGAGGTGGCCGAGGCGGTGCGCTTGGACGCTGCGGCGGACGAGGCGGAAGAGGAGGCGGAGGCGGACAAGGCGGAGGAGGTGGCTGCCGTGGCGGCGCTGGCGGCTGCCGAGGTGGCGAGGGCGGAGGCCAGGGCGGCGCATGCGGAGGCCAGGGCTGCGTTTGAGAAAATCAAGGCGTCGCTAGAGGCGGCGGCGGCGGCACTGAGCGGGACCGGGTCGGCGTTGGAGGGGAGCGAGACAGCGCTCGAGGAGGCGGCGGCTGCTGCGGAGGCGAGGGGTGCCGCTGCGGCCGCGTCGATGGCCAGGGCGGTTGCAGCCAGGATGGCGGCGGATGCGGCCCAGGAGCGCTCATAGAGAGCTGCTCCATGCTGAGAGGCCACGGCTGCTGAGACTCAACATTTCTTGCATGATCTCTTGCGCGCGGCGCGGGCGGGGGATCATTGTGTGCAAATTGTGTCGGAGGGAGGGAGTGGGGTGCCGGGGCGTCATTCTTTCTTTTGGCGCCGTTGGACTGACTGTGTTTCGCCTTCGATCCCATACATACGTTTCCAATGTCCGCCTCGCCCGCCCGCGCCAGCGCCGCGCCGCCTTCGCTGTCCGCGGAGCGCGGCGGCGACGTCCCTGCAAGCATTCGGAACGCCGCCACGGATGGCCAAGCGGGAGCGGTGCTGGCGTGGCTCGACGGCGGCGGGTGGGTGGACGAGACGTTCGAGTACACGTTTTGTGACGGCTCTCGTGAGAGCGGCATGACGCTGCTGATGGTCGCAGTGGCCAATGGCCACGCGGAGCTGGCCGAGGCGCTTCTGCGGCGCGGCGCGGATGTCTCGTTGCAGCACAGCAACGGTGGCACCGCGCTGAGCCTCGCCGCCGCGAACGGCCGCGAGAAGCTGGTCGAGCTGGCATTGCGGCACGGCGCGGAGATCGATCAGGGAAACAAGGTTGGCTGCACTGCGCTGATGACCGCCGTCTACCAAGGCCACGAGCGGATTGTCGACACGCTGGTCCGGCACGGCGCGGAGATCGACATGCAGGACAACAAGGGCGACACCGCGCTGATGTTCGCCGCTGACAACGGCCATCCCGCCGTGATGCTTCGCTTGCTGCGGGCGGGCGCAGACATGAAGCTGCGCAATACGGACGGTGAGACAGCGCTGCAGATTGCCAAGGAGGAGGGCCACGCCGAGTGCTACGAGGCCTTCAGGACGTATCTCGGGGAGGTGACTGGCCGGAGCAAGGCGCCGTCGGCCGAGGCGGGCGGCGCAGGCGCAGGGGCGGGCGGCGCACCCGCAGGCGAGGCGGAGGCGGGCGCTAGTGCTGCGTACTCTGCTTCGAGCGGCGAGGGTGGAACGGAAGCCGCACCGAGCAGCGCGACGGTGCCTGAGGAGGTCGTGCTAGCGGCGCGGCGAGGCGAAGAGGCGGCGGTGCTGGCGTGGCTCGACGGCGGCGGGTGGGTGGACGAGACGTTCGAGCACACCTTTGGTATCGGCTCTCGTCGTGCGAGCGGCATGACGCTGCTGATGCTCGCAATGGCCCATGGCCACGCGGAGCTGGCCGAGGCGCTTCTGCGGGGCGGTGCAGATGTCTCGTTGGAGAACAGCAGGGGCACCACCGCGCTGATTCTCGCCGCCGTGAACGGCCACGAGAAGCTGGTCGAGCTGGCATTGCGGCACGGCGCGGAGATCGATCAGGGAAACAAAAGTGGCAGCACAGCGCTGATGCTGGCCGCCGATGAAGGCTACGAGCGGGTGGTCGACACGCTGATCCGGCTCGGCGCGAAGATCGACCATCAGGACAATGACGGCGACACCGCGCTGATTCTCGCCGCCGCCTTCGGCTACCCCACCGTCGTGCGTCAGCTGCTGAGGGCGGGCGCAGACACGACGCTGTGCACTACGGATGGCAAGATGGGCGGCACCGCGCTGCAATGGGCCAAGGAGAAGGGCCACGCCGAGTGCATGCGCGCCCTCGAGGAGCACGCGGCGGCCGAGGCGGCGGCCGAGAAGGCGGCGAAGGAGGCGGCGCGGGCTGCTGGGGCGGCGGCGAGGGCGGCGGAGCGGGCGGCGGCGGAGAAGGAGGCGGCGCGGCACGCCGACGAGCTGTTGGCGGAGGTCGAGGCGGAGAAGAAGCGCGCCAAGGGCAAGAAGGGCAAGAAGAAGAAGAAGGGCGGAGGGGCGGGCGCGGCTGGGCCGTCGCAGGAGACGGAGGAGGGCGCCGAGGCGCCGTTGGAGGCAGCCGAGGCTGCGAAGAAGGCCGAGGAGGAGAGGATGATCAGGCTTCTCGAGAAGTGTCACGAGGAGAGGATCCGGTTCGGCATCACGGCGGAGAGCCAGGCAGCGGCGTCGGCAGAGGTGGCCGAGGCGGTGCGCTTGGACGCTGCGGCGGACGAGGCGGAAGAGGAGGCGGAGGCGGACAAGGCGGAGGAGGTGGCTGCCGTGGCGGCGCTGGCGGCTGCCGAGGTGGCGAGGGCGGAGGCCAGGGCGGCACAGGCGGACGCCAGGGCAGCGTTGGAGGAGGCCGAGGCGGCGTTGGAGGAGGCCAAGGCGGCGTCGCACAGGGTCGATTTGGCGTTCGAAGGGAGCGAGACAGCGCTCGAGGAGGCGGCGGCCGCTGCGGAGGCAAGGGGTGCCGCTGCGGCCGCTTCGATCGCCAGGGCGGTTGCAGCCAGGATGGCGGCGGATGCGGCCCAGGAGCGCTCGTAGAGAGCTGCTCCTGCTGAGAGGCCACGGCCGCTGAGACTCAACATTTCTTGTGCGGCACGAGCGCTGCCTCATTCAGCGCGGCGCGGGCGGGGAGTTATTGTGTGCGGGTTGTGTCTGGGAGGGAGCCAGTGGGGTGCGGGAGCAGGTCTGCTCAACCACGTGCACTGGGCCTTGCTGAATGCCGGGGAATGCCGTGGGGCTCCTGCCCGCGTGTCCGGGCGCGTGGAGATGCGAGGGTTGCCCCCCCTTGCCCCACCACTTTCGACTTTGTGTGTGTGGAGACCTTACCTTATACCTTAGCCTTGCCTTACCTGTGAAAGAGAAAGTGTTAGTGCCAGTGCGCGCCAGTCCCGTGCCCGGCCACGCCTCCCCGACGGCCTGAAGAGGAGCCGGCGGAGGGGAGGGGCGAGCCGAGGACGATAGAGAGACCGCGGGTGCGGGCGCGACCCGTCGACCAGGGAGAGTGGGCCCGTCCTCCCTGGGAGGGGAGGCGACACGACCCAATGCCGCCGTCCTCGCCCGGGGAGACCCCGGCCGGGTCGTCGACGCTCTCGGAGGCTGCGGTACCAGTCGAAGGCGAAGCGGAGTCGAGGCCACAGCCGAGGAAGAGGCATCAGAAACGACTGCAGAGGCAGTCTGGTAACGCCCGGAAGGCGAGCAAGGGACCGGGACGAGACGAGGGCTTGCCCCGACGGGCGAAGGAAGGGACTCTGGGACCGGAGCCGGGTGGGCGCACATGAGGCGTATCCGTGTACGTGCGTGGAGTACAGTGTTGTGTGTCTGTTAGCTCCGAATAGAGGGGGCGTTCTGCAGTTAAGGGGAAACCCGGTACACGGAACTAACCCTCGGAGACCCGTGTTTACTTTACGGCCCCTTCCCTGCGAACGCGCACCCCCAGGGCTAGGGCTCTCTTGCCCGTAACCCGATGCCGATCATTCGGCCCGCTGGGTGCGCTTCTTAGCTCCTCGGCCCTGGATGTGAGGTTACCGACTGCACTCCAAGTGCTCCAAGTGCTCTCTCGCACATGCTCGCGCAGGTGGGGACCCTGTCCTTCTCCCACCCCTTGTTTGGTGTGTCCGTTTTATTTATTTATTTATTCGCCGGTGAAAGAAACTTTTTTGGGCCAGTTGGTACGGGCTGCGTTGCCCGCACTCACGGACCCCATACCCGAAAGAAAGAGAGGGGAGCTCGCGGGAGAGGTGACGAGTGAACTACAGGGAAGGCAGCCTCGATTGCCATACAGACATGGGTGCGAAACAACGACAAGACCAAGGCACGGGCAGAGGAACGAGAGAAGAATATAGAGTGGATAAAGCGCCTGTTCACGGCATGGAGGGTGAGCCACGCCGAACGTACCGAACGTAGAGCCGAGCGGAAGGAAGCCGGGGAAGACGACCCCGAGGAGGACGAAACACCAGCGGAAATCCCGCCGTCAGCTGTCACGATATACCCGAAGGGAACCCCAGTGCCAACACCGACCGTTGAGGCACAAGTGCTCGAAACGAGAGTGGACCTGAGCAACGACATGACATGGCGGGATATGATCGCGGTGGGAGTGAGAAATGTGGTCCTTGCGCGAGGAATGCTCGATAAACTCGAGGGACCAAAATACGCAAAGATCTTTCAAACTCGGTGTCGAACCACCAGCCCGACGCTCACTACAAGTGACAGCGGAGAGGAGAGCGGAGTTACGCAGAAAGGCGAGAGAAGCAGAGACAGCAAGAGATCGGCAGACGACAGCGGCGTCTCAGAACGCGAGGCCGTGGAGAGCGATGAGTCAGGGGAAGAGACAGCAGGAGAGAGAACGACGAGAGTGGGAAGAACGCGAGGTGGCATGAAGGTTGGAGAATTGGTGAGAATTTTACAACAAAACTCCCTCGCACAACACTGGGCACAGGACTGGGCACGTGAGAAACTGCGAAGCTAGAAAGAGGTAGACGCCCGAGGGGGTGGGCGACGGCTAGCACCCCACACTTCTCCCCTAAAATCCCTGTGTGGTGGCGGCGTGCCGTCCTCCCATCCCTCCCTTGGGTTGTCTGTTTTCTTTCTTTCTTTCTTTGCACAAAATTCTTTGCACAGGGTACTTCCCCACGGTGGGCGGGCGCAACAGCCTGATTCAGCACATCGAGAATGCCCTCCGCCCGGGCGAGCGAGCAACAAAGAGTGGAGGGGTCCCGTACCATGCGGAATCGACCCTATCCAGTGCTCAAGTGC